CATTGTCATATATGCTGGACTAGACCTTTCTCAAGCAACTAAGTCATTATAAAAGGCACTGAATGTCTTAAGAAATGACAGATCTTTGGACTAAGCTGTTTTTTATTAGCATGGTTATTCATGGTTCTCAGCCCAGTGCCTCAGTGCCCTAAGCCTGCCATTCCTGGTCTGGTTCCCTCCTTTGACAGCTCAAGTTGTCTCTAGGTAGGTTGCGCTTTTCAAAGAAGCCTAATTATGGAGCAAGAAGGAAGGAAAGAAATGGAGAAAATGCAGTTAATCACTAATGTGTAACCCCCTCCACACCCCATCATTAGCAGCTAACATGGGAGCTTTTCTACAGCTCTTCCTGATGCTGTCATTTCTTTTTGGTTTTCATTTATTTATTTGGTTGTTTGATTGGTTGGTTGTGTGGATTTTTGGTTTGCTTTAGTGGTTTTCTCTTTTGTCTGGTTTCTTTTGGGTGTTATTTGTTTGTTTCCTTTTTGAGGCAAATTCTCACTACAAAGCCTTGGCTGGGCCTACAACTCACTACGTAGAGCAGGCTGACCTCAAACTTGCAGCAATTTTCCCGCTGCTGCTTTCTGAGTGCTGAGATTACAGGCATGTACTACTATATTCAGCTCTACCTACTAATTTTTAATGCTTATCCTCTTGGCTCAATTGAACAAGACTGACATTTGTTTCACTTTAAATTCTAGTTTTAAAGCAACATAGTAGAAAATTATTGACTTGAGAGTTCAGCCATGAGGCAAAGGTGGTCATATAACTTAGTGGTTATGACAAGGTTCTGCAAATAGAAATATTTAACCACAGAAGAGCTGTGTGCCCCCAGGCACAGGACCCAAAGTATCTGATACTTAGCTATAGAGAAGTGAGAATAATGGCTGTAAATACTAAAATACACACAGTAAAATGCTCCCTAACCTGTGACTACAACTATTATTCTGTAGACCGAGATGAAGAAACAGAAGGGCAGAAAGGAATGACAGCCTTATAAATACTTGGTGGCAGAGCCTTCATGCTCCTTGTTCTTACTGCTGAACTAGGCCTGCCTCTTTCAGACCTTTTACAGTTCCTGTATATAGATAGAGAGATAGATGTTAGATAGATAGATAGATAGATAGATAGATAGATAGATAGATGATAGATAGATAGATAGATAGATAGAGATAGATCGAGATAGAGATAGATATAGAGGTAGAGATATAGATATAAAGGTAGATATAGAGATAGATAGATCATAGATAAATAGACAGACAGAGATAGATAGATAGATAGATAGATAGATAGATAGAGAGAGAGAGAGAGAGAGAGAGCTCCATAAAAGTTCTCACAGGAGACTGAAAGTGAAGAGATGTGAGCAGCAAGGAAAGGGAGGGAGAGGAAGCCTGAGGCTTAATGAGAGGCTGCAAGAGAGAAAGGAGGGGAGTGGAGACTTCCGGAGTCTACCTTCCCAGGACAGACAGATAGATAGATAGATAGATAGATAGATAGATAGATAGATAGATCTGGGTATATATTCACCACTAAGGTCATGCTTGGTTTTTGTATCAAGAAAACTTAGTAAGTTTAAATTAATGCTTCCCATATCTGTCTGCCTGCAAGATCTTATGACCCACTTGAGAGCAAGAGCTATAGCTTGCTTAACTAATGTGTGTTCACATTAGTTGATTACCTATTGACCCATAACTAACCCAAGTTGTGGATGCTCCCCGCCCCCATCTTCTCTGTCATATGACAAGCAGTACAGGAAATAATAGGATGTGCACATTGGGTACAGTGCACGCAGACCTGGATTTTAACGGTGTGATTGGTAGCATGGTATAAAGTGCTAAACAGTCTGGCAAAATGCAGTGATGGATAAAGAAAAATAAAGGAAAGAGAAAGAATGAAGAGGCAGAAGTAGAGGAAGGAGGGAATAGGAGGAGAGAAAGAGGAGGGGGGAGAGATGGAGAGGAGAGTAGGAGGAGAGGTAGAGGAGGAGAGGGAACAAGGAAGAACAGGAGGTAGTGAAGGAGGAGGGATGATGGTGGAGAAGGAGGAAGAGGAGGAGGAAAGAGGAGGAGGATGAAGAAGAGGAGGACGAGAAGGGGGGGAGAAGGAGGAGAAGAATCAATGACAGTGGAGTAGGGAAATTCCCCTAGAGATGAATGTTATTCTCAAGGGCAGTGGAGTGCCTAAAATGCACTGCATGAAAAAAAATGTAATGTAATTGGGGTAGAAAAACCCAGGTTTGAATCTCTGCTCTCCATTTATGAACTGAGTGATTGTGTATTATACTCTCTGGGCCTCAGTCTCTTCACTATAAAATTAAGATAATGATAGTACCCACCTCACAGCTCTTCGATGAGAATGGCCTAAGATATGATATAGAAAATATATATAGCACAGCACCTCACCTTTAATAGGGACTCAGAAAAAGCTATTTGATGTGTTAATGCATGGGTATTTTCTATAAAATGGCATGAAAGAAAACTCCAGACAACCTTTAGCATCTATGTTAAACCTGAAGAAGGAAGATATAATTCCCAATGAAAACTTTTTTAGAAAACCAGGCATGGTGGTACACACCTGTAATCTCCCGAATCAGGAAGTAGAGCCCGAGAACCAAAGAAATCCTCAGCTACATAGTGAGGTCAAGGTCTTTAAATTAAAAAAGAATGGGTTTAGAGCTACATGTGGTGGCACACACCTATAATTCCAGAACTTGGTGGAGAAGGCAGACCAATCATAAATTCAAGGTCAGTCTGAGCTACATAATGAGTTCAAGACCAGCTTGGACCACATAGAAGGATACTATCTGTATATTAAAAAATTAGTAAAATAGAGCTAGTTCAGCAATCAAGCTTCTGTTTCTTACCACACAACATCTAATATTGAAAATAACAGAAAATTATGATTACTATTGGCTGTGAGTACATAAAAAGAAGCCCACTTCTCCCAACATACCTACACAGTTGCTTGACCTGAGAGTGTTTCTCAGAATGTGACTGAGTATTGAAAAGACAAGCATACAGCCTGACACGTACAGAGTAGCTGACTGTATCTACTCCTCCTCTCCCCTCCTCCCGATGAGGAGAATCCAATGCACCAATCATCATTAAATCCACAAGAAAAAACACTAGTCAGAGTACTTGACAACTGACTGTGACAGTGGACTTCTGTCTTCTTGGCCCTGTGGCCTTCTAGCCCATGAACCTCTCAGTCTGGGCAACTAACCCTGCCAGGGAAGTCTGCTGTCACCATGCCACATCTTTGAGCATTTAGGGAACAGGAGGCAAGGTGGCATCAGTTCACAGCCCAGTCTGCAAAAATAACTGTCTTTTCTCCTCTTTCTATGATTCCCCCACCCCTGTTCTTGTTTGGACATGCACTCAGTATAGCAGTCAGGATTCCTGCCTTCTCTGTCTGGTCTTTTAGTGTTTGGATTGGCTGTTTTCCAAGGCGACTGAACAGCATTTTCAAAGAGCAGGTGAGTTATCTTCTCCAATATCTGAGCTCCCTGCAAATTAAAGCAATCAGAAACCCCTTGGAAAGAATATACAAAGTGTCGGACGCTTCCAAATTAAAGTCCTTACATGGTACCCAACAAGATTGTCATTTTGAAGACATACTTGGACAATATCCAAATGTGGTAGCTGATTTTTGGTAACTTGAGAAGTGACCTGCAGGTTACTTTCTGATGGGAAAACCACTCTGTGTTCTTTGTAAGCAACTGTTTGATATGTGGCATTGCAGTCATGGGTGTGAAACATCTGGATTTAACCAGAATATGGATGATTTGCTCACTGTTGGAGAGGGACATGTAAATATGGCTTTGCCTCTTGGTTTTATATCTGGCCCCAACATGCAAATTCCTGCCCACAAACTTATTCTCTGCCAGGATTTGATAGATTAATGTCAGCAGCTGGCAGAGATCTGCCTCTGGTTATAGCATGTGCCACATGGCGACAGGTAACAACAGAAGGCTGCCAGAGAGGAATGCCCAGCTTTTCTGAGGGGAAGGTGACCTAGATTGCCAGTCAGGGGCATTAAAAGACCCTGGTCCAGGTCACTATTGGAACTACAGAAAACAGAACCAGAAGCAACCTGGACAGGGCAAAGGAGATGACAGCTACCATTTACTGAGCACTTATTCTGTGCCAGGCACTATGCCAGATCTGGCTATGTTTTCCCATTTGATCCTAGCAAGAACCCCATTTTACAGAGAGGGAAACTACAGCCAGAAGGAAAAGACAGATCCAAAGCAGTCACCAGGAACAACACAAAGTCCAAAGCACTTTGAAAGCAAAGTGGTTGAAGTCAATTGCCAAAAAAACATTCAGGAACCAGAGTTCTTTATAGCTGTGGCAATTGGGATCTGGAGATTTTCTTCTAAGCCACTCTTTCCCTTTGGCAAATTTGCTTTATCAGGCCATCTCTGACTGTCACACCTCATGGTAGCTGGCAAGGGCACAGTGCTAGTTTGGCAAACACTGGGTTCAGAAGGTGAATGGACAGGCACCTACCCGAGTATCATTTGAAGATTGCCTTAATGGCCTCATGCCCTAAAACTCCAGATTATTACAGAAGTAGAAGGGGATTGGCAAGGTGTAATAGACAAGATGGCATCCAAACTTGAGCTCTCTTTATGCTTCTTCAATCAATGCTAATCATGTCCTTGTTTTCAACAAAGATGGTCCACCACCATGACTACTTGCTGATAAGCCCAGATATTCCTGGCTGCCACTCATGAAGAGACCTGTTCAAATGCACTGGCCACCACAATGAAAGCCCAGGGTCTGCTAACATTAGCACACAATAGAAAACACAGCTGTACCCTGACACATGACCTATCTGCAGAATTTTACCCCATAAACATCATCAACGCTGTTTTTTTTTCTTGAACTAACACCATACTGGACCCCAGTCATCAGTTAGAGAACAAATGATAGTATCTTCCATAATCCTGCCACTAGAGTGTACAGCTCTCATGCACATGAAAAGCTAGCATCTCTCACCTTCGGAAAGTTCAGCTCACAAACATGAAAGTCCAAGTTCATGCAAAGAGGTCGATCCTGCTTAGGCCTTTGAAGCTCTAGGAAGCTTTGCAAATGCGGCATACAAACATCAGAAAGATCCATTTACCGGGGTTGAGTTGTGAAGCAAAGTCCGTTCAAGGGGCTGGTGGAACACCTCAAACAATAAATAACACAGTTGCTTTCCCAGCTGTTTTAAATGACCAACATATCATGATTGTTTTTTTCACAGAAATATCAGTGACATAATCCTAAACAGGCTCACAGCCCTCTCGCTAGTATAATAAAACAATGACCCAATTATTTCTGAGGGCCGAAGCAGCAGATATGACGACTGAGTATGTTGTGCAGGGCTCCATGTGTGATGGATGGGACACAGTAGGGCAGCTAAGTGTGTGCCAGGGATTGGAAAACTGCCTCCTGAGCCCAAAATCCTGCCATTCAGCTGGTCTAGGGGAGAAAAATAAAGGCATTCAGTATGAAAGTTCCCACCCACTTGTTCTTATGACGGAGGTGCAGCGCTGATTGAAGCAAATTCTGTTTTTTAAAAAAAAGCCGGTTTGTGGGTATTTGTTTATTTATAACTGCCCCCTCTCTCTGCTTCCCCACACCCTGCCTCGTTCTGCAAAGGATTTGAGATAGGATTTGAACACTGAAAGTTTGTTTAAGTCCTAAACAGGTCCAGCGACTTTTTAGACTGACAACAAAATGAAAGCCTTTAGATGAAGGGTTGAGCTCTTAGAACACAGGTTTACCCAGTCAGAACTAGTCCTCCTTATACCCTGTGATCAGAGAGACCTCTTCTACCAGACCACTCGTCCCCAGTGCTACCCTTCACCAGGAAAATAAACATAAGTCCATAAGCCTGAAGAAAATAAAGTTAACAGGGAGCCACTCAGTCCTTTACTAGTTCATTCAGTCAACAAATATTGACTGGGACCTATCCTGGAACAAGCTCAAGAGAATGAAACTGGAAGAAGTCCCAGTCACTGCACTTGAGAAGCTTCCAGTCTAACGGGAAAGACAGACAGGTAAAAAATAAAATAAAATTCTAAGGCGGGGGCAGCTTCGTGGAGACTGCTTGCCTAAGAGACACAAGACCTTGGGGGCGGTGTGGGGGCCACAGGTGGTGCAGGTGACTTAGTTCAAGGACCCAGACTTTGACTGCCTCTGTTCAACTTTTGGTTCTGCCTCTCTCTAGCTATGTGGCCTTAGACACATTGCTTCTCTGCTCACAACCTCAATTCCCTCATCTGTTAAATGGGGCTAATAATAGAACTGACTTCACTGGGTTATTATGAGGATTAAATGAGATAATCTGTGCAGAAACTTAGAACAGTTCCTGGCAAACACTAAGCACCCAATAAAAAGTTGGCTTTCTGTGCTTTTTATTCCTTTTGTTTAATTTCATAAGACTGTGTCTAGGGATGAGACTCCAAGGACTGGTTTCTAAAACAGAATTGTTTTCAACAAACTCCTCCCTTTTAGCCCAAATTTTTCTTTCATATGGAATGACACAGATCTGCCATGATCTCTCCCTCAGCAACCATATGTTTGGCAAGAATCTCAGGGAGAAAATATTTCCCAGATGGTTTTATTTATGTCAGCCTACTATGTGCCAAACAGCACTCTCGATGAGAGGGGGCACGTTGCTGAGCCATATAGACAAGGTCCCTGTCCTCTTAGAGCTTCCCTTCCAATGGGTGAGACATACCATAAACAGAAAACATAAAGTGACATAATCAGCCAGAGAGGTAAAGAGAGTTAAGGAAGCATAGGCCATAAAATGAGTATTAAGAAGGGGCAAGAATTAACTGTTGGTGGTCCCCCAGAAAGGTTTGTCTTTAGGGGTAGCATTTAAAAAGCTGAGACTGTAAGCGTAAGATAAAGCCTCCCATGCCAAAAGCAAGAGCAAAGGCAGGCCAGGGAGAAGAAGCAGTATGCACAAAGGCCCTGGGGCAGGAAAAAACTGGGCATTGTCCAGAAACTGAAAGGCCAGTATGACTGAGACATAGATCCGTGGTAGGGAGTAAAGCAAGCAAGATGATAGCTAGCATGCATATTGAAACTGAGAAAGTCCAGAAAGATTAATGCACTTACCCATAATGCCTTGCACATAGTAGGCGCTCCATATGTTGTAGAATGCTCAGTCAGTAGGGCGGGGCTGAGGCCCTTTGCCTTCCAAATTCGGACTGAGATTTCCCACCACAACTAGGAATCAGCTACCCAGGGAGACTGAAACATAGTCTTTTTTGTTGGTGAGTCATAGGCAATGAGTATTAGAGTGTGGGGTCGAGTGGCCCCAGCTGCTGCCTGTGTGTAAGGGGTGGGGGTGGGCTCAGGCCGTGGCTGAAGCTTTTTAGCATGTTTATGATGAGCTGAAAGCACTCACTGCTTAATTTAAAATACCGCTCACACATACACATACAATTCAGCAGCTGGGGGAGCTGCCAGGAATTGAGGCTAAGTGTAGAAAATTGGAGGATCAGGAATATCAGGTACCCGGCCCTGTTTCCCAGCTCCCAAGGGCCGTCTCTGATCCCATATAGTCCCATCTTCTGAAAGAAACTCCTGGAGGTTAAGACATGGATGGGAACAACAGCAGTTTCGGGACTAGAGACTTCTCCAGAATCCTCTAGGTTAGCCACACTAGTAGCCCCACCCGGTCTCCAGCTTGCCTGCCTTCCTCTGCATCCACGCCTTGTAGCCCAAACCCACCCCCTTGGAGAAGCCGCCTCCTCTAGGCACCTCCCAGCTCTCCTTGAAATCTGACAGTTGGGAAAACTCATTTGGTCCAGATTGCAAACTGCCAGGGCTGGCTGCTGCTGTTTCCGGTGTGTGTATCTTGTCTCCCCAACCACACGGGGGCCCCCAGCACACACTTGAGAAACTGAGTATTCTTTCGCATTCCCTGCAGCCTTTCAGGCCGTGCACAAAGAGTGTCATGCATGATTTCTCAAGGACTGCATGACAGTGTATCATTTGAAAGTCCTACAGGTTAGAATACCTGCTCTTGCTAGAAGATCAAGACCTTGAACTCAACAAAGAGATGGGAAATACTTGGGGTTATCCTCCACACACAAGGAACCCTGCCAGAAAGCTAGATGAACTTGCAATCTGTCAATCACAGTGCCCTCTGTGTTGTGCCTTTGAGCCTTTTATTCATAACATCTCTTCTGACTGGAAAACGTTCTGTCCCAGCTCACCCTAACCAAACTGGTATTCATTCATCAAAGCCAAACCAAATACGGTCTCTGCTATGTAGGTTTCCCAGATGGGTACAATTCATGGCTCTCCCTGCCAGGTTCTATGCACCCCATCCCACTTCTTCCTCTATTATGATACAGGCTACTGAACTGGCATAACCTAGCTTCAGATCCCAGCTCTGTCCCTTCTCAAGATAATATCAATTTTCTGGAAAATGGGATGCTAACACCAGCCTCAATGAGCCGTTGGAAGTTGCCCATGAAATAATATCTCCAGTCTGCTCAGTCCAAGGCAGGACCTCCAAGGACAGGACGTATTTATTATCATCCTCTTCGTTGTCTCTGGGAAGGAGGGGGGATAGAATGGTTGAAAATGTGAACTTGAGAAGCAGACTCATCAAGGTTCCAGGGCTGGTGCAGTCATTTCCTAACTATGTGACCTTGGGCCAGTCACTTCCTCTCAGAAGCCCACTTTCCTCACATGTAAAATGAAGTAATCATGCCCTTCCCCATCACAGAACCTGTTGGGAAGGTCCAAAGATGAAACAGATGCAAGGCAAACTTGTCACATAAAAATTGTTCATTTGGGTCTATATAGCCCTTCAACCCAGCAAACGCCTTTAAGGGCAGACAAGATTTTACTTATCTTTGAATCTCCTGCTGCCTAGCTTAGCTCAGAACCTCTGCAGCTGGCAGGCCTACAATAAATCATTGTTGAATTAAATTGAAAACCCAAACCAGATGTGCCTCCTCCCCTGTCAAATGAAGCTTTCAAGCTGGTGGGCTGGGCCTGCCACCCCTCCACTCCCCCTCCTTCCAGCTGAGCAGCCGCCATTGTCTAGCCCTGGCTCTAGGGACTGAAGTGGCAGCGGCAGCAGCAGCAGCATTTGGAGGAGGTGAGAGAGAGAGCAGTGTGACCAGTGGGGTAGAGCATTCTGTCTGCTCCTGGTGACCTCATGCAAATCACCTTCAAAAGGAAACTATCTTGATGTCTCTGTTGAATGAATAGAGGTGACATACCAAAACCCCTTCATGAACCCCGCAAGCAAGAGAAGCCTTCCTCTCCACAAAACACTGAAAATGACAACTTCAATGCACCGTGTCTGGTGAAAGTTCCCTTCTTAGTCTATGGACCTCTGATACTGAGATACAGAAAGTCTCCTGGGATTTAAAGCCAAGGCCACTGCCTATTCAGAAGTGTTGTGATCCTGTCATGGTACAAGGGACAAAATTTTATTTATTGCCCCTACCCCACTCTGAAAGACCTCTGGAAACAGAACACAGGCTGAGGGTATGAGGCTGGAGGTGGGCTTTACTGGGGGAAATACTCCAAAAATATAAATCCACCCCCCCAAAAAAGAAAGAAAAAGTAAGATTAAAAAGAAGAAGAAAGAAACCTGAAACCCGGTGTAGTGGCCCATGCCTTTAATCCCAGAATTTGGGAGGCAGAGGTGGGTGAATCTCTGTGAGATCAGAGCCAGTCTTGTCTATATAGTGAGTTCCGGGTCAGCTGGGACTACAAGGAGACCCTATCTCTAAAAAACAAAACAAAGCAAAAATAATTTAAAAAATCAATTTTAAACTACTCATGTAGTTTTAGAAGATTTGCTTTTAGTGTTTCTGAGCCAGAGCTGGGTAGACAGGGCAGAGGTAGTGATAGGGTCCGATGTTGTATAGCACAAGGTCCAAGTTAAGAATCAGATACCAGAACATGGCCAACTGAGTGGTGACTCTGACTTTGTCACATGCTAGCCTGCCTAATCCCTAGCAAGTGACTTAACCTCTCTCTGTCTCTGTGATCTCATTTCTCACATGGTATTAATAATAGTACCTTCTCACAGGGTTTTCTACACGGACTAAATGAACTAGTGTTTATAAAGCAGTTGCCATATGCTCCACACATGGTAAACACTAATCCGTTTGTTAAATAAAAAATAAATACATACCTCAGCTCCACTGCAGGCAGACTAACCTAGAGACAGGGTTGCCGAATGGTTAGAGCTAGCCAAGGGGAGCCAGCTGGGCCTAGCTTTAAATCCTGGTCTCAGAATTTCAGAGTAAACCTCTCTGAACCTCAATTTTCCCGATTCTAACACGTGGCTAAGAGCAGCCCTTCTTGGAAGGCGTTTAAATGAGATATCTCCAAAGTCCTGAGCACAGTGCCAGACACGTGGCATGAGGAAGCACCCAATAAAAGCAGAGCATTCATCATCTGCATCTTGGCAACCACTACTCCCCCACCCCTCTTTTTTCCTCTTTCTTTTGGGTTAACACACAACATGTAGTTTTGGAAATCCTACCACAGTAAAAGAACAATTTCATCTTTTTGCCAATGAAATTCCTAAACATCTGATTCAAGAGCCAGAAAAGGGAAACATTTTGGTCATCTCTGCACCAACTGAGCATGGATAGTCAGTTTCCCTGTTGAGTAAACCAGACCCTTCCAAGCAGTAGAAGTCACTTTGCAGGATAAAATTGAAGGAATGGGTGTTTTGCTGCAAACAAAAGCCATCTTTGTTTGCTGCCAAGCTTTGGGAGAAAAAAAACATACCTCAACCCAGGAGCTTGGAAAATTCTTGAAAGTTCTCATTTTATTCCAGCAAATCCAACAGAACTGGCAAGATTCCTAGCCATGTGAACCTGAGTCAGAATGAGTCGCCTCTACCCACTTGCCTCCCCACAGCACTCAGAACCCAGGAGGGTACACTGGGCATCAATACATATTAATTGTCGATTCCTCCGTGACAGTCCCAGATTCTACTTCTACAATGTCTACGGCTTTGCCAAAGCATTCGGAAAAAAAATGCTAAAGAACATTTTGCAAACAGGGAAGAAAAAAAAAAGCATCCATCAACTCACCACTCTAACACAACTCTTAATTTTGTATGGAAACTTCTCCTCCAGTCTTTATCCACGTGCAGACATATTTTTACAGCACTGTAGTCATAGGGAAAAACTGCTGCAGCTCCAGCCAAGAACCAGATACCATACGGCTCATGTCACTAAACTTTCCAAGTGAGGGATTTTTCCTCCCTCATTCACTCCATTCATTCATTCAGTCAGCCATTCAACAAACACAGGTTTAATCAGGCTTTTGTGTTATGCCCCGGGGAGTACTGAGATGATAAAGGAACAGTAACCACCTTTAATCAGCTCTGTTTACTGGAGAAAATAAGAAAAGTCGGCAGGAAATGATAGTACACTGGAATCAATGTAGAAATGATGTATAAAAGCACAGAAGTGATACCTTACAGGGAGACAGCAAAGGGGTGTGGAAGATGGAGAGTGACAGGAAAAAGAGAGGTGTCATCGAGTCACCCAAAGTAGCCCTGTTCTGGGATGGGGTGAGAAAGGAAGACAGGGACCAAATCATTAAGATGAAAGGTATCATTTTTATTCTGAAGACCGGGGGAAACTTTGGAAGGGTATCAAACAAAGTTGGAGCACAGTCAGATGTACAGGCAGGTTGCAGAGCATGAGATAGTTAACAAGTGGCCCACCACAGTAATCCATCAAGATAAGGAGGGCGTAAGCTAATGAGGTGGGCTCTCCACTTACAGCCTTAGCAAGTGACACCACCTCTCTGTGCCTCCACCTCCTCCTCTGTACAGCAAGAATCACAACAGCATCTCCCTTCGTGGAGCTGCTGGGAGGACTGCATGAGACACTGCATACAAGGCACTTGGTCCAGAGGCTGCTACCCAGAAGTCACTCGATCCATGGCAGTTCCCTCATCCCATCCTCCACCTCACCCTTCCTTAACGTCTGCTATACTGTGGAGCATGGAAGTGCCCAAAGCAAAACCCAGACAGTCTGACTCCAGAAGGCAGTGGAGAAAGTTTGCAAATGCTACTGTCAGGACGGTTACTGACAATTGGGTAGTTGAGTTGAGGGCCCCGCTGAGGTTGGAAACTATGACTTTCCTAGTGAGACTAATCAACAAACTGGTGGGATTTCCTCCACAAAAGAGGAGACTGTTGTCAGTTAAATTTATCCAGACTTTGGATTTTTACTTCATGGATATGGTAAGGGAGTTGGTGATGTAGGCAAAATCCTGAAGTCTACATTCCTTGAGTTAGGCAAACACAACCAGCTTCTAATCATCTCTGCCTTGGACTAGCTGTGGGACTTTGGGTAAGTTGCTTAACCTCTCTGAGCCCCAGCAATCTCATTTTATAAAAGACAACAGTAGCTGTCTCATACAGTTATTGAGAGGATGACAAGGCCGTATAGAAACGATGCTCTAATAGGCTTAGTATATGCCTGGCACATACTTGTTTATTGCTATCATCATCATCATCATCAACAACAACAACATCACTTTTGAGGATGGAGAGGGAAGGAAGTAAGGTGATGGGGTTGATGGAGTGGGTTCATGAATGGAAGAGTTTCAAATGTCTAGCAATCCTCCCGAGGTAAAGAGGAGAGCTTTGAGGTCAGCAGGCAGGAT